GACTTGCCACGGTCTCCAACCCTCCTCCTTTCTCATCCGGGCTTGGGACCGGCCATGGCGGAGTTACCTTACTTTTATTTGCAAAAATTTCACCGTCAGCTGTAGTTGAAAAATGTGTCTGTTAAACATTTCTTTTAGCCAGCGCCTTTGATAGTGCTTTCTTGCAGTTTACGATTATCATATTTTTCGCTTTAGACAGTCCGATAAAAACGGTCGCAGGAAGTTGAAGAAGCACAAGTCAGAAAGGCCAAAGTTTATAAATGCTGAAGATGTTGGTGAGCATGTAAGGGTGCTTTTAAGTTTTTTATGTTTGAATGTTTTTTCTTATAATTCTCCTGATAATATTAGAAAAATTGACCCAGATTGGTTCAGTTAATTCCGTAGATGATTTGTAAGGCGATGAAAGATTATAAAAAAGTATAAGTTTAAAGCAGCTTCACGGATTTTGTAGTATTAAGCAGTATCTCTATAGATTTTGATCATTTTTACTTGAACATCATTGCAATTAGCTATATAACTGATTAATTTGTTCTTATGCAGTTTATCATGTTGAAATTACAAAGTCAGTGTTTGTTTTCTTTATTTGACAATTAACTGATCTTTCCTTCAGTTAACGGCGATTACTGCTGCAAAATCTCGATTCCCACATTTGTGTGTCTTGTGTGATTTGTTGCCACAAGCTTCCAGATCTGTCTTAGTTAATCAACCCACCTGAACCGAGATCTTTCAGTTGGCTGCTTTTAGCTCCTCGGGTACCACTTCCCTTACTACTGAACTTCATCGATCATACGTTAGTCGTCTGATGTGATTCTTCTTAGTCATACTCGAGCTGCTTTTAGGGCATTGAGGGTTTCATTTGATATTGTCACATGCTTTTGGCTACGGTGAACTCTTGCACTTCTTGAACACCCGTTTGCCATTCACATCGGCTTATTAGAGTTACAATTGACGGCTGCATTTTCGTAATTGAGCTCAGGCAAAGCCATCTTTTCTCCGGCCAGGTTCTCCTTCGCAACACGGTGCGGTGATTCATCCCGTAGAAGATTTAATATATTTACAGCAATTTAATATAAAAATGGATCAGAGATGGAGCTAGGGTGTTTTGCTTCCTAGTTTTACCTCTACAATTTGTTGTTTATTCGTTTATTTATATCGTCTTGGAATGTCTCAAAAGGTGCTTGAGAAAGAACAAAAGTTAGAGACCTTTGTAGACTACCAGTTGAAAATTTCAGATGCTTCTCAGCAATTGTGACTGATCTGGCAGTTCAGTCTTTGACGTCAGTATTTTCATCCATTCATACTTTGTGTTCTTTTTCCTTTTGTTTTTGCTCCCTTTAGAAGTTTGCTGATTGTAGTAATGGATTTATGCACAGCCAGTTTTTAAAACATAGCAACCCATTTGATATGTTTACACTTACTTAACATGCCTGTACCCGGAAGTCAGTATCAAATATTACATGATTTCGTTTTTCACTTTCATCTTCATTATTTGTCGATGTTAGGTCGTCGCACTTGGTGTTGCGTTTGAACGACAGTTTCTTTTTGTGCGGCAGCACTGATCTGAGCTTAGGTACAGAAGGATATTTGTTGAACGGAATATTTTTGTATTGGCTAGAAGATTTGACTGGCTGTCGAAAGCTGAGCCGATTCTCTGATTTAAGTGATTTGATGGGGGTTGGGGTTGATGCATTCGATGTACTTAAAGTAGTCAACCTCATTTACCGTTTCATCTCACTATAGCATACGCGAATGTGTTGTGTTATTAGTGTCGTAATTTTCTTGACTTTATCTGTTTTTGGAACTGAACTGTTTCAGGATGTCATTAAATGGCGAAGCCCTTTTTTCAAGCTACTTCTGAGATCAATATCACCGGCGTATTATGCCCCCTTTCTGGGATGAGGCTTTCATCTTTGCCCTGATTAGCACTGTTTGGGAGGTGAAAGTCGTGAACATCGTTAAGTATACGAAAGACGAAAGTATATAATTCCCTGATGAGCTGTTAAACTAATGGGGAACTAATTAAATAGCTTCCCCTTGATTCCAATGGCAGACATTGCTCCTGTGTATATCATCTTATTACTTCTTTGTCAATATGTTTATTTATCTACTTGGTTTATAACTTCTGCATACTTACTTGTTTGTTTGTGTGCTTAACTACTTACCTGCGTACTTGCCCTCGAATCTCATCGAGTTTAAGTAGGATCATAGGATATGTTGCGATTGCTTGTGGGCTTTTTAAGGCGTTGTAAAAGAGGTTGAGCGGTTAACAATTGTGGATTATCCTTATACAGTAACTTAGATCTCGGTATCATGGGTGTACCAGCAAACTGCCAATATCATTGGAGACCGTTTAAGCAGTTCACGGCTTCTTGTAGTTTAAGGCGTGCAGTGCAAGGACGCAAAGCCATCTCTGCATTTTCCTCAATTTGACCATACATCCGGTTCGTATAAACTTTCTTCCCAAACATCTGGCGCTTGTATTTCTCTGCCAATTGATCGTCGAAGCACAGGACCTCCTTCATCAGTCGCGTTTACGTACTCGTGTGAAGTTTAGATTTCCTGTCTCAGGCTGCTGTAGCGTAAGGTATTATGAAGTGCAAGATGATCAGCAATGTCTCTTCAGCTTATAATTGATTGGCTTCGAGCGAAGAATATTGTTTTGCACTTGCTTAATGCAGTTTTTCATCAAATTTACTGGTGTTACTTATTCAACCAAAGTCTGTTTAGTCAGTTGAGTCGACTTCTGAAATTTCTGAAGATGAACAAGGTTTAACTCCTTTAGACATTGACACTGTACGATCCTGGGAACGCAAATTGGTATGTATCATATTTTGAAGGAAAATATGTCTGTTGTTATCTTGTGGTTATAGGAAACTAAGGTTAGTTTCTCGCTATTGGAGTCGGTTTTTACTGCTTTTGCAACAGCTATTGTACAATGTGGTGTCGAGCTCGATGAATATGAGAAAAAGTGGCGTATTGTTGACGGAAATGGTAACATTCTATTCTATTATTTTTTCCGAAGACATGAAAACGCATAAATATTTTAGCCTTCAACGCCGTCTTGAGACTGTGCTTCACCAACTTTCCTCAAGCATGGAACCGTTTTCTCTCGTTGAAGCACAACCACGCTCCAACAAAGAAGGAAAGACGTGACCCCAATTTCAAAACGTTGTTGCAACCATTGATAAAAGCATACCTGAAGCTGATTTCCAAGGTTAGCACAATGATGAATAAGTAACATCCTGAACATTATATTTACGCGTTTTCACTCTTAGTTTTTACCGCATATCCAAGATGCGAATGTAAGAGTGGTTGTTTTGAAACATTTGACTCAGATCACCGACTACTGTGCTACTTACGATGGCATAGCGCGGGCATTGATTCGAGTACGTACGCAAAACAATCAATTTTGCTTAATCAAACATGTTTTTAGCCTCTGATTGAAACGTGGGCTTCAAAGGAAGATAGTGCGAGAGTGCTGGCCTTTCTGTGCATCATCAAACTAGTGAGAATGTTTCATGTCTCCATGATCGATTTCGTACTCAGGGTAAGAATGCGTTTTGCCAGTTATTTAGTTTAAAGCAGTAAAGATATTCGTATCTCTGAAAATGCTGATTTGAAGTATTAAATACCATTAAAGACTGCAAAAACTTGTGCAGCAGATTTTCTCAAATTAAATATAATTAACAATTTGAACACTACGTTGTCAATTACGTTTACGTTAAACGGTGCGATGCTGAAATTGTCTCTTTAAGTAATGACTAACTGCACTTCCATATTTTTCAACACAAGTGCAGTCGACTTCATTCTTAACCTAAGAACGTCAAGTCTCAAAAATTCTATTCAGTACAGTAAAGCTCACGTTTAACATGAAAATAGGAAAAGACAAACTACGTTAATACCCAAGTTCCATCGTTTTTGGATGGTGGATCAATCTCTTAAATAACTAAGAAGGATAAATGTTTCATATGCTAAGGCTTAAATTTATTTGTCCTAGCACCCTGTCAGGTAATAGGGGTATAGCTCAGTTGGAAGGGTACCGTATTTGCAGTCAAACGATTGACTGGCGAATTACAACCGATCAAATTTTCCATTTTTCATAGGTAAATGCAGTAAAATCTGGTTAATTAGAAATTTACAAAAAGTCACACTGTCTATTAACTAAAGATACAAATATAAAATGCCAGAAAATAGGTATACATTATACATTACCTTAAAAAGGGTACACTCGAACTCTCCTTAAAAATCGTCTTTTCATTTTTGCCGCAGAGAGCAGGTAATGTTCAGAGTAAGGGATTGCTTGATAGAGTGAAACACGGTGGGGCTTGCTCCCCTTAGCCGCTACGATAGTCGTGAAAGCTTTTTACTTGAACTTAGACACAGTCGGTCAGCAAGTCTGTCGTGGATAATTATAAAATCTTAACGGTCATAGCCTCACAGTGGTAAGAATAAGGCCTGTTCAGTCGGTTAGCAGACGAGCTTTTTTCCGTGAATACCACTAGCAGCCTCTAATTTGCAAGCAGAGGTTTGCTATGAAGCAATATGGCTTCTCTGCGGCACTCTACGTCCCCCCCCCTGTCCCAAGGAAGCAGAGTAATGAACAATCAACTAGAGGAAATTGTTTTGACTAGAGCAACGGTCCCTCGTCGACTACGCATACATGATCATGAGCGACATATTCGATCACCTCACAAGTCTCTGATGTATCTGTCGTGCAAATGATTCAAAGCCCAAGTCAGCTTTCACTACTTAAGATTGAAGCCACTGCCATCTGTTGCCAGAAACAGCGACTTTCTAAATGAACAGGGTCTTAGATTAAGAGAAAACATAGTTAGAAGCCTGGAATAGAACACCTTAATAAGTGAAGCTTTCGGAAGCCTGAACAGTGCCCTATTCTTCAGCACAATTTATAATATGCAGGGAAGATATCGTAGCCATAGAAATCTGCAAGTTTACAATTAAAGCACTGTAACAGAGACAAGTAAGAAAAGCAAAGGTAAAATGAGGTGAAAGAAACAGAAGAAAAGTGGAAAGGAAAAAGGATAAAAACAAAGGATCAAGGAAATAAAAAATTACAGAAATGCGTGAAACAGAAAATGGTAATGGAAAATATATTGGGATTGAATGGTAGAAAAACTCCGCCATGGCCGGTCCCAAGCCCGGATGAGAAAGGAGGAGGGTTGGAGACCGTGGCAAGTC